ACAAAAAAGAGCAATAAGAATTGTGCATAAGAAGGGGTACAGGGATCACACCAATGGAGCTTTCATACAGTCTAAATTGTTAAATTTCTTAGAATTAGTGGAATATAAGACCGTGGTGTTTATGTATAAAGCTAGGAACCACTTATTACCTGGTGGAATCCAAAAGTTATTTGATGAAAGGGAAGGGGGTTATAATTTAAGGGGTCAGTTGAATCTAAAAGTTCATGCTATACGTACGACCAAAAAAAGATTTTGTATTTCTATAAGTGGGGTAAAACTATGGAATAAATTAAGTGTGGACATGAAAAACAGTACTAGAATCGAGGAGTTTAAATATAAATATAAATGTATGTGTCATTCAAGATACATGCAAGAATAAGAGATTTGATCAAGAATGCAGGAAAGAAACACTCTGTTTTAAATTTTCTGTGTATTGTCTGGGGAAGAAGAGAATTACCTATGTAGAGATACTGCTTGCAACCAATGATGCATGAAATTTTTTTGAATAAGATGATGTTATGGGGTAGGACTGGATAAGTCTGACTTCTTCCTACTCCATTCAAACATGTACTAGGTATAAGCAAACTGATTCTGAATCAGCATTGGTTGGATTTGTATAATTATGTGTGTGTTGATGTCGTTTGTTCTGCATGTTTGAAAGAATAAATCAAATCAATAATCAAATCAAAATCAAAAATCAAATCAATAGTCATACATGTGTGCTCCCCTGTTTACCCGCCAGTGGACCAGTAACCTGCTAAACAGTGTAAACGGATTATAAAAGTTGATCAAGTATTGACAGATTTAACCAAGAAGGACTGTCCAGGTCAGATGCAAACTGTCATGATTATGTTACAGCTCAGTATGACTTCAGTGACCAAATGTGATAAATTTCCAGACTTGAATCCACACAGGAAGGCTGGTTGACCCTATTCCTTACTGTCACTGTAAACCTGCACATTTTCTACTTAATAATTCTACAAAGTGCTTTTGTGTAGTTGGTTTCAGTGCCCTAATCCACTGTGGGTTGTCTTAGTCATTTTAAAACAGATTCCCTTCTCTTAGATCTATTATAAATATAGAAAATGTAGAGCATTTTGAAAAAACTAAGAGTTGATGCCAAGGTGTTTAAATGTGAAGTGAAGGCAAAACAAGGGAAAATATTTATTTATGCACATTTTAAAATGTGTATAAATGCAAAAGGCAATGTATTTTAATATTATAACAAGCCAAAAGTCTTGATAATAAATAGAGGTCGTTAAAATTCCTGCAGATTACTCTAAGATGCACTCCTCTGTGACTGGTTGATGCAGGGCGGAGTGGGATGTTCTGGAGACTGTGATTGGCCAGATGACCGAACCCTTCCAGGTGACCCTGCTCTACACTTCCTGTGTGGGTGGAGATGGTGCCACTGTGGCTCTGGACTCTCTGACGATCATAGGCTGTGAATCTGGTGAGTTCATTGTGTCCTACAAAGCTTTGACTGCGTCAGTTATTAAGGTTTCTATTATGTTAGGTTTCTGTGAAACTTGTATAGGTTGTTTCCTTCCCAAGCCTGTAAAAATGATTCAAAGTAAACAATCTGAGAATGATAAATTTGTTGTTGTCTTACAAGGCAGAGACATGTAACCTGTGATGAGGGGTCCAAAGATACTAGTTTAGACAATGTCTAATTCCAGCTAATTCAAGTGTTGTACAACTGTATAATTGTTGTGTGGCTGCTGAGATGCAGAACATCAGGATGGCGCTTGTGGAGAATCTTTCCACTGTGAAAACTCGGACATCTGCATCGACCGGAGCCAAGTGTGTAACTTCCACACTGACTGTCCACTAGGAGAGGATGAGGGCTTCATCTGTGGTGAGGGTTTGTTTTTTTATTAATAGGATGCTGCTTTGAGTGTAATCATGGGTTTAAATCTCTTAAATAATTTATGAAAACAGACTTTTGCAGTTGGCTTTAGAGGTTTCCACTCACAATATGATCATGAATCATTTTTATTTGATTTGTTCTTGCACAGTTGGACCAGTTCTTGTAGTGGGAGTGTGAAAACTATATGAAAAGCAAAAGATGTATACGAGTGGGAGCTGCAGCTTTTATAAGTGAATGAAGAGTTAAATGAGGCTACAGTACAGCAGTCCTACAGCAGAAAGTGGGGTTGCTGGCAAGCTGTGATCATGTTCATTAGCTGCATCAAAGAACCATGATAAATTGTTAATCCTTTGACCAAAGCTGGCAAGGGCCTCTACACAATATATTTAAAGTGCAGAGTAATTGCTACTGTATGTGGGCTTTCAAAGTGTGAGGCCTGAGTGCAGCTTCTGTCTTTGGATAATTTGCATCAAAATGTTATCAGCAAGTGTTATTTTTTTAAATAGGTTCTTTTATTGCATTGTTAGCAATTTTGATATGCTGTGTTTGACCTCAACCATGCCTTTTGAAATGTCAAAGCATGATATTCAGCAATTTCTTAAAGCATGTAATGGTGGATTTCTTAATGTTTTGAAGTCCTAGATTTGAAAAATAAGCTATAGGAAAAAGTGCTCTTAGAGAATCAATACCTTTCATTTCATCACCCTTCAGTTATGAAATTCTACTTACAACCTTCCAATTTGACATCATTCATTCAGCACAAAGGAAAAACCGAGAATCAAAAGGCCTCACTTCAGTCAGTAAAGAAATCAGCGAAGTTGAAACTGTTCAGATTGATGAGCTGTGGCTCCCCAGTGGAAAGGAGCTGGGGGACAGTGGTGGTGCAGTGTTTTTCACCAATACAATCTGTCCTGGTGCTCATGCTCAAAAATACAACAGTTAAGTTTAATGTTAAATTCTCAAATGATTCAGGCACAGTTTGTGTGTGCATGCAAACATAGTTGTAGAACTAGTAGTCTAGTTACTGTAGATGACTTATAGAGTTGTTTCTTTAATTTCTTGGATTAATCTGAACTTCCGTTTTACACAGCTGTGATGTGTTTTAATGAAATCTGATAATATCCTGCGTTTTCCCCAGGTGCTCTTCCGTTTGGCTCACACTGTTCATTTGAACAGGATGTGTGCGGTTGGTCCATGTCCAACCAGCAGTCGGTCTGGAGGAGAGTCGCTGGAGATGAGCTTCTGGGCAAAGAAGATATGCAGGGTGTCACTCTGCAGAGGACACCAGGTAGGCGGTGTGTGTGTGTGTGTGTGTGTGTGTGTGTGTGTGTGTGTAGTTGGCATATTAACATCTCATACACTGATTTTATGATTATTTCTTTGGCTAATCTTTTTTCTGTTATGAATTTTTTTTTCATTGCGGTGTGATGGATGTTCATAACTTAATACTTGCCTTCACTTCTGTCCACATATCTTACATTTTATTTAGTCTCAAACAGGCTTTTACATTTTTTTTCTAGATGTATAGTAGCTGATGACAGGAACAGCATGTAAGATTTCTAAATTATGAAGTACAGTAACACCATATGGCCTTGAAGAGTTTAGGGGGATTGTTTATATCAAGCTGCGGAACATATTTGTGCATTAGGTTAACCCCATGTTACTAACTAGTTTTATTATTCAGAGTTTTTATTTTATAGGCTGCTGCTTCTCATTCATCAGTAAACAAGTTCAAATGTATTTCTTAAAAAATTGCAAGAAAAGTTTCCAGCTATTACTGTATCTCTGACTGCATTATTTTGATGACTGCAAAACAAAGGCCTTCTTCTATGTCATCTTCACTGTGTGCCTCCAGGGCACTTCTTGTTTCTGCAGGTCAGAGAGAGGACTTCCCATGGAGAGGCATCTCTTCAGAGCTCTTCATTCCCTCCTCCAGTCTCTTCTACCACCTGCCAGGTCAGTTGCTCAGATGAATACTGTGGTTAAATTATTTAAATATGAAGTTGTTGTTGTTTTTTTTGTCCTAAGGCTCAGATCATCCTTTGTCATTGTGCTAAGTCTTTGCTGATCTTCTGCTTCTCTGTTTGCACAGATGCGTTTTTCTCTGTACCTCTATGGGCGCTTTAATGGTTCATTGCTGGTGACTGTAGTGGAGAATGGGACCACTACCACCCCACTGTCCTTGGAGAGGGATGATCAGTGGACAGATGACTGGCAAGATATTGCCCTGCAGCTGACTGGGCTTCATCATGGGTATGTAACAGGAAAACAAAAGGGTAGAGGAGCTACTTCACTATGAAGATTTGACCTTTTCTTTACTTTGAGCTGTTTTTTGTACTCAAAAAATGTTTCTGTTGCCTTTCACATAAAAATTTTTTTTGTCTAAATACACAAATGGCTTTGCTCCAGGTTCCATGTGAGGGTGCTGGCTGTGTGGGGTGAAGGCTCCGATGCTGACGTTGCTCTCGATGACATTGCAGTTGGAGCAGCCTGCTTTCATACAAGTAAGTTGATGCTAACATGGCACCATTTAGACTGTAACAGAAACACCACCAACATACAGTATAATGGCGACAAAACCTAATACAGATGGGGTTGAGAAGACTAAGGTGAGGTTGTGTAGCATTTGAAAGTGCACAACTTTCATGCTAACACACTGTGTAACAGTGTGTTAGCGTTTTCTCTCCACTGATTAGATTTAAACTGATTTGTGTTGCTGACAGAATCAAACCTTTGCTGGGTAAAATGTAGGATAACCGAGTCATCACAACTGACACTGTATGTTGTTGGGACTGCCTGGTGACCGCTGTCTCACTCACAGCAGCTGTCATCAGTCACTTGTTTGCCCCGTTTCAGTAACTGGTTGTGACATGAGGGTAACAAAATTTAATCCTTTACTATAAAAGCAATACTTCAATTTGACAGTTCACTTGTGTGCCAACATTTCTGTGTCACTGTTGTTCCACTTTGATTTTTAATTCTCACAGTCATGTGAGAGGACATTTTAAAAACCTCTGCCTGCTCTGCCAAAATGGTCTGATTTAATTTTATTGCTCAGCTCCAGTTGGGCAAGACTGGAACATTTTCTAATTGATATCAGGGTCAGTCGGGGACCCTAGAGAAACTTCAGCACTCCATAATGTAGTTTAATGTTACTACCCATCAAATTTAGGATCTTTTTTTATGTTGTGACTGTCACGACTTTAGTTGCTTCAGCAAACCCAAAGATGTGGGGTGGTTTCAGGGTTTTGCAAAGGACAGTGCACTGCAGCTCCTGCCTGAGGTTTAGGCAAAATGCAAAACACTGTCCCATAAAGCCATTAACTTCTACAGAAACTTCACTAAGCACAACCAAGTGGTGAATATATTCATAGTGGAATCAATCTTAGAAAATGTTTCTTCTGTGTTTTCATCTGTGATACCTGTCCATTAATTATTTTTTTTAATCTCCTTTGACTCTGTGCTGCTTTCTGCCTGAATATAATTTGTGCTTGAGTGAAATGCAGATGGGTGCATATGACTCCTCTTCTTTCTTTCCACCATTGTCTATCTTGGCTCCATGCCTCTCTTCAGATCTCAACTCTCTGCTGCCCGTGGCAGACTTGGAGGATATCTTGAGTCCCCTTGCAGAGCCTTCGGCCTCAGGTAGTGAGCAGCTCCAGCTGTGAATTTTTGAAGCATCCCTTCCCTTGTTTATTAAGTATTTTATAATCCACTGTGCATACAGAATGTTGCATGCATGCAAATGCTCCAAGCTTTGCTGTATCAACTGACCAGAAGCTTTTAATCCATGCATTTTAGGGGCTTTCATACCAGATGGTTAATACAGTTTCCAGTCCTTCTTAGATGTTGTGCCATATGTGCTTCTCTGTTCTTCAGTGTTCAACAGTTAGCCTCAGTATTTTTTTCATGTCTTTTCTCTAGAGGTGTCTCTGATGACGTGGTGGTTTAACTCGTGCGGTGCCAGTGGTCCCCACGGCCCAACCCAGGCCCAGTGTGACAGCACCTACAGGAACAAAAATGTCAGTGTTACTGTAGGGAAGGAAGGCCCGTTGAAAGGAGTCCAAATGTGGAGGGTGCCAGCTACCAACAGATACTTGTAAGTGACATTTATGTGAGCTTTAAGGTGGTCTTTTCTCTAAAGTCCAGTTATTTGTCAAAGGATAGGTTTGGTGATTTTTATTTATTTATTTATTTAATTGTTCACAAATCCCACGAAAAGACCAAAACCAACAATTAACTGGTCCTACTAACATATGCTGACCATTACACATTGTTGTTGTCTCAGAACTATTAAAAACACATTAGTGAGCTATAGAACGAAAGAGGTTACAATGTTGTTTACACTTTTACATGTTCCAGTTTGAGTGGTTAGTTGCTGAACAGACAATAGTATTAATATGGTTGTGTGATTAAGACAGCTGGGTTAAGTGACTGTTTAGATGTGACTGCATGCTCGGGGACTGAATTGGCCATTGTCCATGCAGCTGATTCTTGTTCTGCCAGATCAAGACTTCAAGCTATTTATTGTCTTTGAACATCCAACCATGAGACCTCATTATCACACAAGAAGATGCAACAGAAGAGTGGAAAGATTAATCATAAGATTTTCAGAATGTGAAATTACTTGGGCTAAACAAATCTATAGCTGCCTGCTCAAGCGCACTGCAGTCTGTGCATCTAACCTGAGTGGCCACATTTAATCAACCCTGTGGTGCAATGGTCTCCCCCAGGATCTCTGCCTATGGGGCTGCAGGAGGGAAAGGAGCCAAAAACCACAACAAACGCAACCATGGAGTCTTCATATCTGCCATATTTCCTCTGGAGAAAGGAGATATTCTGTATATCTTGGTGGGCCATCAGGGGGAGGATGCATGTCCTGGGGTGAGTAGGGTGAGTGTGAGGACAGGCTGGAAGGTTTTTTTGTGTAGTGTCCCATTGGGATAATCTTTTCTCGGGGAAAGGGGGAGGATATGAGAGTGACCTAGATAAAAGTGTTGCCTGGACTCATAGTGTGAAGATAACTTTCCCACTCTCTCCTGTGGTGTAGAGAAATCGCCTCACCCAGAAGATCTGCCTGGGAGAATCATCAGTGATCGAGGATGAACTCAGGGGAGAGGCCAGTGCAGAGTGGGCTGGGGGAGGAGGCGGAGGAGGGGGAGCTACCTACATCTTTAAGGTACAGTGAAATGTTTTCGAACTTGCAAATGTACTGTATTGACGTGTGTCGCTAAGCATGAAAATAGTTTCAAACAAGTGAGTTACTGTGTTGCTGTCCTTTCAGACAGAGGGGGGTGAGTTAGTCCCTTTGTTGATCGCAGCTGGCGGAGGAGGAAATGCCTACCTCGAGGACTCAGAGTCCAGTCCCGACCAGATACCACTGGAGCAGTATGAAAACAGTACCATACGTCCCAGTACCAATGGTCGAATAGGTGCTGCAGGTATGTAATACAATTTTATCCTCCAATCAGTGGATTTAAATAGTTGTTTAAAGTGTTGGCTCACCAAAACTACAAAAATGCAGGTGTTCCCATTTACCTGTAATAGTACTTAGCCAGTGGAGATTCAGTTTATGTGCCTAGGATTTCAGATATCTGTTTTTGAGGTGATTCCTTCCTGTTTTGTCATGCTCACAGAACTGAACAACATCTGTGTTCCTCTTACTCTGGATAAGCCATGGAACATGTGGTCAACAGGAACTAGTTCTTTATCAAAAGCAGTTTCTATGAAAACTGTCAAGTGACATCTGTAGTAACTGGAAGGCAGTTTTTTTTTTCAATTTTTGGATTTGTTTAGCATTTTATGGGATTATTAGAGAGTTGGCAGTGACAAGATGCAGAGAGATTGTAAACGTGCCATATAGATCCCAGCCTGATGACAAATGTTTCTATTCAGAATGTGTTTTAAACTTATCAGCCCCAAATTCATTGACTAGATAAATGAACCCAGGTGGAGAGCAGCTAATGTTTGTTTCCTTGAAGGTGGAGGCGGAGGCTGGAAAGATGGTCCGACTCTTCATCTGAGAGCTGGCAAGTCTCTGGTGGAGGGTGCAGTGGGGGGATTTTCATGTCAGCTGGCCCTGACTAAGCTCAACTGGTCCACCTTTGGGGGTTTTGGAGGCGGGGGTGGGGCCTGCACAGCTGGAGGTGGAGGAGGAGGTTACAGAGGTAAAACAGTTTGTCAGCTTCTCTCAAATTATGCTGCTTTACCATTTTTCACTCCTGCACTAACAACCCAGATTACTTTTACATCTGTTCTCTCCTTCTTTCTCTCTCATTTCATCCCAGACAACCCAGCTAAATTCCTTAAATAAGTTAAAGAAAGCTTCATCATTCCTGTAGAATTTCTGTTTTTAGATTAACTGCACTTTAGTCTGAAGCATAATTTAAATCATGCAGTATATAATTTTCACTGCCGCATTCATGTACAATTTTGCATGCACACAGTAATTGTACACTTTCTTAGTTTTTCTGTGCTTTTATCTTTGGCGATGCTTTTAAACCACCCTACCTGCCAAAAGCCAGCAGGTTAGAGGTTAACTGTCTTTCAGCTTTGTCATCTTTTTTTATTTTTAAAAACTGTCCTGACTGAATCGGGAAAGTGCTGACATGAGCTGACTCTTTTGACAGGAGGTGACGCAGCGCTGATGGATGAGATCACAGCTGATGGTCAGAACGGAGTCTCATTCATACATCCAATGGGAGAGATTTTCCTGCAGCCTCTGGCAGGTGAGAACCAGGAGAGAACAATGAGAGCAAACACCATCCCTGGCAGTGTGTGATGAGGCGGAAAGCCTCGGGAAAAGGTTGTAAGTGGATACTTGAGTAAAGACAATGCAACTTAGCAATGGTGAGTAGCACCGTGATGTTGAGATTTCCCTAGCAGCTCAAATTTAAAATGAAAATCTAAGATCTCTAGAAAGTAAAAAGAACAAGTTGTCAACAAAGAAATCTTTCGGTAGTATAATGAAAACTCAAGAACGTCTTTAGAGTTATGTAACATTGCTTTACAGTAAGTCACTGCAGGAGCAGAAAGCTCAAACATGGATGATCCCAAAGCAGACAGACACTGTGTGAAGATTAAATCCTGAGCCCCTGGGCTTCAGGTCACTTAGTTCTCCAAGCAATTGATCCAGTCAGTGCACCTGTGTGTGTGTTTATATATGCTTGGACCTTTTTGTGCTGAACTATCTGTCTGGGTACTTAGGTTCACATTCTCACGCATGCGCATGGATATATGCTGGTGGTGTTTTTGATGTTGTTTTTGTGAGGCTGCTAGACCATCTGATTCTAATTATTCAGCTGGAGGAACAGGAAGGCAGTTCACTAATCTGCAGCCTCACAGTGCCTATTTCCTTCAGCACCAACAGATGGACCCCATTCTTATGTGGGGGGAAAACTAAGACCCAAGTGTCTTTTCACTGAATTGGCAAAAAAAAAAAAAAATTATAATTGAATTTTAAGGCAAATGTTTTCCTGTAATGTAGTTAAAGCATCTTCTCTTAAACTGAGAGTTTGGGTGGTGCATGACACAAACCTGCTATTCAGTTTGCATCAAGACACAATGGAGCACTGTTTAGTCCAGTAACCCCGTAATTGAAAAAGTATCAAATTACAGCCTTAGGTTATGGTTAGTCCCCCTCACCAGGAGGGTGAGGGAGAGCTGGGGTTAGACTCAAGATAGCTGACCCAGGTGCTAGTACAAAAAAAAGGTGGTTTATTGGAATAAATACAAACAAAGTGACAACATAACAGGGTCCATAATACTTACAACCAGGGAAGGGCAGTGATAACTAAGGAGACCACACAAACTAACGGCAGGAAACAGGGTAAGTATTGTCCATAACATATAGCAATGCTCCGGAGACGAATCAAAAATGTGTAGTGTAGTGGGAATTAGCGTAGCTCGTAGGTAGTGTGGTAGAGTCAAGCCAAAACGCACAGTGTTTGTCAGCGTAGCATTCTACCAACATGTACAGTCTGTGTTACTATGTTAATGTTCCGGCCAAGACGGAGCGTCCGCCAGATGTTTATAAGGAGGCGAAGGTAATCATCGGGATGCACCCCAGTTGTGTGCATCGACAAACCAGTCGCTAATTACTGGAATGCAACACAGCTGAGGTGCAGAGCCCACAGGATAGAGAGAGCAGAGGAGAGAAAGACGGAGGAGAGGCAGCGGCCGCCCAGCGGCCCTGACACCTTATGTATAACATAATTCAAAATGTTGAGTCAATTATGGTATTTAAAAGTATTGCAGAACAATTTAATTGCCTCAGTTTAGACAAATATGCACATAATTGTAATAACTCGTGTGTTCAGAGATCAAAGGACAAAGCTGATGATATGCTATATTTTTATTACCGTCTTCAAATCTCATGAAAAGACCCTACTGTCTTTGACTCCCTTTCATTTGTATTTACTGTAGAACCGCATCTTTAAAAACAGGTCTGTTATTTTTAAAAGTTGACCCTGCTTCCTTGAACAGCTGGGTATCCTAGTTTGCAGTAACAATTATTCACACAGGAGTAAGTAGTAGTGCATTTGTTCTATTTACAGCTAATTTGCTGCTCTAGCAAATGTTTACAGTAGCAGGATGGTGCATGAGTGACTCAAAATACTGTGACATTGGCCATGTTCATGGTAATGAACAGTGAACACGGTCATAGTTAATCAGTTCTGTTTTGGTCTTTTCATGGGATTACAATCAGATCATCATCATCAAGATCATCAGATCTTGTTCCCAAGTATCCTGCAAACTGTGCTTGTGTTTCTTTTCCTGCTTTTGTAAATGTGTGTATATATCACATTTTTCCTCAAGCAATGGAGAGTCATGGGGAGTGTGAGATCAAGGTGCAGCTGAACTGCAGCCACTGTGAGATGCAGAGCTGCAAACGAGATGAAGAGACCCACCTTATCCTATGTCTCTGTGATGACGATGAAGTCCTGGCCAGCGACAATGTGACATGTGTCAGTACTGTGGGTATGTAACTGCCTCCAACAAATATACTTTTGAATCATAGCCATTATATGTTAGCAGTTCATTTAAATGTCAAACTATAAGTTCCTTCAAAATTCTTTCCAGTCTAAACAGATAAAGCATCAAAACTAAAACATTGTCTGTTAATCAGCCCTCTGTTCTCTCCTAGCATCTCCTGAAGGGTTGGCACCGCCGGGCCAGATGTCGACATCATTGATCCTGGCCATCGCAGTCTGCACCACTGCCAGCAGCATTGCACTGATCTGCACCGGCGTCATCCTCAGTAAGCAACTCCTCCAATACTGTGTGCAGTCTGTGCCCTCCACCTTCCACCGCCTTTGAACAGAGCTGTATGACCAAATGTTTCCAGATATTGCCGACAACAGGAACACCTTTAAGTGTTGGTTTTAGTCCCCTCATCTGGCTGTGTGCCAGATAATTAAAGGAGACGTGGGAAAGATGTATTTGGATATTATGTTGACGCAATATAAAGTGACCACATAATGTATGAACGCTTGTTTCAGGTGATAATCTTCTTTCTTTGGATGATCCCAAAGCAGACAGACACTGTGTGAAGATTAAATCCTGAGCCCCTGGGCTTAATCAGATGTATATAGATGTACAAGATTACACTGCAGAGAAGTGCGATAATGAGAATAATTGCAGTTAAATACCATGTTAATTTGCTGTATTTAGTGCCTTCATTAGAATAATTGCTGTCATGAAAGCAGGAAATAGTAGGAATGCACTGTATGACCTTAATATATGGTAAGATACCTGATTGGCTATAAAAAGGACAAGCAGAAAGCTTTGACATTTAACTAGGAAGTTGCTCTCAGCAGGGGATGTATACTGATGAGTGAGATTAGATAGTAGAAAATGTCAGACATGATTCACTGGCAAAAAACAAAAAATCTAGCAGAAACAAACAATGATGATTATCTAGACATGAAGATTGCAACAATATGAGAAAATAGAGAACTGTGATAAGATTAAACTTTCAGTCGTTTTGGAAAGCCAACAGTGACATTCACAAGTTTATCTGAACCCTCCGGCATTGACACTCTATAGCCCTTTTCAGACGTGCACCAGAACCCTGAAATTTGTAGCTGTATGTGAGAATGCAAATGTCCCAGTCAGTTGAACCGGACCTTAAGCAGACTTCACTCTGCCAGCTTCCTAGTGCAAAGTTTACATAAGTGAGCTGGAGTGAGCCCATGTAAAAAATAGTGACATATAATGGAGCTAGTGGGCATTGATGATGTCTTATGTGACCGGCGCAATACCAGAAGAATAAAAATATCTGATGGTGAAGAAAAACGGTAATTTACAATGAAGATGCCAAAGAAAATCTTACTGGAGATACAGTGAGATTCAGGAACTTCTGTTAAGAGCAGGCACCAGACTCGACAGACAGGACTACAGACACAGTTGTTTATATGACAAGCTGCCTACATGACCATGCTGTACCCAGGAAGGCTCCCCGCGCATAAACCGAGCAGAGTATTTCCAGCAGGTGAGAACACATATAAAGTATAGTTCATCTGAAATAAACACTAAATACATTTTACTGTTGGTCTTGCTGCAACTTGGTTTTAAAAAATTAATTACTCCTGTTTTTTATTATTCAGTTAAATATCAGTTAATGAAATTTCATATTTCCATGACCCCTTGTGGTCCTCCATATTTACTAGTCTTTTCCATATTAATGCATTTCGCTATAGTTTAGTTGTTGGATGAACATATTCTAATATTTCTACTGTAACTAAAGTTTTTTTAATGTGCATTTCATACATGCAGGAGCAACCATATCCAATATCAATCTCCAGTTGTGCAATGGTTTGAAGTAGCCTAGTCTTCTGTCCATATTGATCCCTGATGAGCATTTCTTTATATCATTGTATGCGACTGTTTTTATCATTCCTGGTTTGCTTGTCAGACTGTGTTTAAGCCCAGAGAGCTGAAAATGTAACTGATATTGCACAGGAAGTCAGTGATGTGCAGATTCCTCCTGAGGCCCCTAGACAAAGCTTAGATTCACCAGAACGGACTGTGGGAAAGAAAGAACAAGCGAGTCTTCTAGAGCTGAGTTTCACTTAATTTTCAGCACTTTGAGTGAGGTTATGAAGAGGATGAACCTGCTGTATTCAGACACATTAAACAGCTCTGGGTGGAGGATTAACAGGTCACCCAAAATATAAGGATTCCCTTCCCTTTCTAATTGTCTGCTGCAGACACTTGACAAAAAAGTGAAAGCTGCAAAAGGAGTGCTAGTTATTGTATAATCACTAACTGTCCTATATTATAGAAAAATGGCTGCATATGTTAACACTGCAGATAAACTGTATTCATATAAAGTGTCTGTGGTTAATAGAACAGGATTTAGTAAGACAAAAATTAACAGTATATTTTGCATAGCAGCTTTTAAGCCCAAGTTAAATACTAACACACGGTTACCTATTAATACTAATGTTAGAATTATTAAATATTAGATAGCAGTTCTCCCTCTCTCTCCAAGAGTGTAAATGCTATTGCATAGCAAGTACCCAAATCTGTTAAATGTTAATTCTCTAATTCCCATTTTAAGGAGTTTGTGCATCATCTTCAGTAAAGCATTTGTCTCATATCAACTAAACCCTGCAGTCAATAGAGCAAATCTACTGAGTTCTTCCTTCAGAAAAAGATGCTCACCTTTTCCCAAACTCTCATACTGCAGCACTTTGTGTAAACAGTATTTAGTCACCTCACAGGTGATGTTTTTCTTCTATGTTTCAGACACTTCTCATAAGCCGTTTTCACACATGAACTCTGGACTATGTCCACAGAATCAGGACCGCGCTTTGTCAAGACTTGCTCTTTCACACATGTAGCACACAACAAGAGGTAGTCTGTTAAAAAAGCAGCAAAACACACACACACACTCTTCAGGTGAAATATGTCATGTTCCCCTGAGCTCTCCCCCATGCAGGGAGGTAGTCTGTTCCCTGGGTGCCCCGTCTCCTCCACCCTCTCCTTCACCTTCCTCTTCCTCCCCTGTTTGAATCCTGCTCCCATCCCACCCCCGAGTCCTTAGCATCTGCACCGGGTGATGGCTCCAAGGCACCTCTTCCCTGCCCCCCTCCCTGGCAGACTACCAACCTGCATCAGGGACATGGGCTGCCTCTACTGTGGGTGAGTCCAGACTCACTGGCACAGACAGTTTAGGAGCTGTAACCAAGGAGTGGACATCCCACAGCAATCTGCAGAATGGTGTTTGTGTCTGGAAAGATTTGTCTTCTTAAAGGGGAACTCCACCAACTTTACACATCAATGATGTCACTTGAGTCAGTGCTATTTAGATCTGAAGACAACCAGTTTGAAAAACAAAAAAAATCTGAAGGTGTGGAGCTGGAAAGAAATAAGCTTACCGGACCTCTGCTGCCCGTTCCCCATCTCTGCTTGAGACCAGAGGCTCGAGGCTACATTAAACTAAACTGACAGCCGCTGGGTTGCATTGTTGGTATTGTAGGCACCACGCTTTGACAGGGAAGAGGAAGAAATGGGGGTTTTTTTTGTTAATATTATATATGGATATTAAAGAAATGCACTGGTATATTGGTGGAGTACTCTTAAGAAAAGTGTTTGTTTTACACTTACTTATGTCAGAATGCTGTTTTACATTGAAAAACACTGAGATGTGGCTTGACCCCTAATTGTGTTACTGCTCCTACTTTTAGCAGATAGGCAGGATGTTTCTTCTATAATGTACATGTAAGCGTTAGATTGTTTGTCCCCCTGTCTTGGCTTTGTATTTAGTGTGGTACTGCACACACAGAGCTGCAGTCTATTCAGCTGGAGCTGCAGAGTCCAGACTGCAAACTCAGTAAGCTGCGGGCCTCCACCATCATGACCGACTACAACCCCAACTACTGCTTTGCAGGGAAGGCTGCCTCACTCAGTGAACTGAAGGAAGTACCGCGCAAGAACATCTCTCTTTTTAGGTACAGTACACCTGAACACCAAGACAAAATGTCTGAGGGTTTGCTGGCTCCCTGTGCAGATACAGTTTAGTACAGCTACTGGCATACTAAGCAGCATTGCAGTACTTTATTTTTCTCTTCTTTTGTTTGCTTGCTTGTTTGTTTGTTTTAGGGCTCTTGGCCATGGTGCATTTGGTGAAGTCTATGAGGGGCAAGTTCTGGGCATGAGCACTGATAATAGTCCCATGCAGGTGGCCATAAAGGTCAGACACATGAGAACATGTTGCACCTAAATGCAAGATAACACTTCACCAGAAGTTAAACTCTTCACATATAGTCCACTCAACAATATTCACAGGGAGGCTTCTCATATCTAAAGGTCACACATACATGTAGGATTTGAAAAGATGGGTTTTTGTAATGCATTTACTTAGAAAAGTGGTTGTTATTGCTTTTCTTGCGACTTAATACTTTATGAAATTGCAATGTTGTGATTTATATTTTAAACCATTATGCTGCAAAGATTAAATCACATACCGTAAAATCCAGAAAGTGATTGGTGACTGGGGAGAATGCACTTTCACTTAGCCAGTGCCCTCAGGTCACTTGGCTTAAAAACTACACAAGGTAAAAAAGAAAACGCTGACTGAGCTTCACATGAGTTTACCTTCTTTTCAATAGCCTCCTGATTAGATCTAATGGTAGTGTTAGTCTTGACAATAGCACACACTCATACCTCACACTGTTTCTCTGATTCTTTCTGCTCCACAGACTCTCCCAGAGCTCTGCTCTGAACAGGATGAAATGGATTTCCTAATGGAGGCGTTGATTATGAGGTTCACCGTACTGAAGCAGTGCACTTCTTACTGCATTACATACACCATACTGGCTGTGTTAAAATGTAGTTCACACAATGATGCACCCGGTGCAACCTAGTGCAGGTGACCTGCGCGAAGCAGCCGTGTGCTCAGATCATTAGACATCACCTGGGTTTGTTTTATAGCTACACATGTGCTTCTGAATTAGACGAGATAAAAGCTGTAACCAGCTGTGAACACTTACTTACCAAGGAATTATAAAATCTTGTCCACATATTGGCATCTCATATAATTACTGTACTGTATATCATGAGGACAATAGTTTCTGTCGGGAAATATTTGGCT